GAGGGTCTACAGTTTGCATTGCACAGTAGAAGGCAGGTGTGAGAGTAAAGATGGTAAGACTAAAACCTACATCCACAATTCTTTATTTCCGTGCAATTATTTTGCATTCAAAGATCTCACAACCAACAGTCCACAAGACTAGTCCTGTATAAAAGGTATTTTCAACACTTTCTCTGAAGTAGTGATTCAAGATCAGATTCTGTATTCTTCTATGTACCAAAATTTAAAGGATTTTTTTTTTGGAATAGACAAGGCATGCGTACCATAAAAATGCAAGAGCAAGAAAGCTTAGATAACACTAAATGTTCTATAAAAAATCAGCAGTTATATGTAAAAAAATGTCTGTTCAGTCAAAACCAAAAAATCACATTTATTTATTTGGCAAGAGTAAACACTTTCTTCTGCACACAAAATAAATATACTTCTATAGAAATGTAGAAAAGAGCACCAGCAACCCAGCCTCTTGGCAAGAAACAGCATTCATACTAAGCACCCTCCACAAGGTTGGTATGAGAGATGGCGAGCCAGATGGCAGCCACAGGAAGAGCAACCTCTGCCATGCCAGCTGAGATAACAGATAAAACCTGACAGCAGTGTTCCTCTTAGGTGGCTGAAACAGAATGTACAGAACCTGTTAGCAATCTATGTAGCCGAGATCAATATTTGAATAGCAATTAAAGGGTAGCAAACAGCTAAAAAGCCATTGCATACTCTAGAAATTCCCACTAAATGTCTCAGGAGTGGACAGAGCATGCCTTGAATTTAGTGCTATGATCCTACATGGCCTTGCTACAGAAAAGCAACTCCTGGAAACAGAGTTGACTGGACAGACTAGCCAAAGCTTCCATTTCCTCTCACTGAATTTTTTTGGCATATCTCTTTGATGCTTTTTATGCATCTCTAAAAAATCTACTTAAATCCTTTTGTCTGCTTTTAAGGTTACAGATCTTTAGACTACAGTGCTAAAATTTATTTTTCCTTAAGCTACATCAATCTCATCATTCCAGAAAGTTCCTAAGGGAAGGGTTATTGTAGTAAGTGCAACTCACACAAAACTTTAAAAATCCCTATTCTACCTTTTCCGAAAGAATTGTGGCATAACAGACGTTTTGCAGCGTACCAAATTTGAAAGGAACAAAACAAATTATTTGTATTATCACATTACTTTTCAAACATATCCATCTCTGGAAGTGCAACAACAGGATTTTCTCATTGCCTGTCTTTTGCATACAAATAGACACTGTTGCAATAACGACTTACCAGACAGGAAGTAAAGAAAGCAAAACATTAAGACTAATTCAGCAAAATGGTTTGCCCTGGGCATAAAATCATCCCTATTCAGCAAAGTTTTAAAGCATATGATTAACTTGGAACACATGTTTAAATTCTTACTAACTTCAGTGAGATTCTGGATAAGTGATGGAGGCACACTCTTAAATGCTCTGCAGAATCAGGTCCTACGGAAGAACAAGCTAAAGGAATCAAAAACGCAAACTCTCCACTTCAGAATTTTTCTCTTAATGCATTAAAATGCACACATTCTACAGAAGCAAAGGTTATCCATCAACAGCAAAACTCACATGAGAGATCAAGACCCTGTCAGCTCAAATACTCACTGGAAGAATATACTTTAGCCTTATATGTAAGCTGAGTTCTCTGATAGGCAACCGAGACCTGCACAAGGCCACAGATGTGTAGCTCGCTGGTGTGAACAAATAAAATGAATTTTTTAAAAATAAAGGCAAAGGGAAAAGAGAGGATGCTTGAGCCACCCCACTATTTCACACGCATATTCTTCATTTATAAGTGCTTTTCAAATATACTAATATGGAGATAAGAAGCTGCTTTTACAGAATTATTCTCACATATCTTTAACACCATCACACATTCAAGAGCACATCACTTGCAGTTTTCAAGGGACAATGGCTAAAAGCCAGCCCTGACATAAAAGGTTGTCATTTTCACTGAAAGCACATTCCTCCCAGGGCAGAGTTTGGCCCGCTAAAATTAGTGGTCTGTGGTAGCATCCACACACCTGTGTTTTGTGAACTTTTCTGTTAATATTAGTTCTTTCAAGCTTTACTAATGATTGGAAGAAAGATAACAAAATCACATAACAATGCAAGTAAAATCAATTGAATGTTATTAAACAACCATGTAAGTAGTTGTTTTAACTCCAGTAGCTAGTGTTCTATTTTATGGTACAGACTCTGCCTAGTGGAGTGGGTTTTTTTGTGGTTTTTTTTGTTTGTTTGTTTGATTGTTGTTTTGTGTGTGTTTGATTTTTGTTTGATTGATTTGTTTTCAAGAACGGTAACCAAGATAGATAGCTAAATAAACAGAAAATTACAGTTATTCCCTGAACAGATTGCAAGAATATGGGCAGGACTACAGGAACATCACAATAATTAAAAATATAAATATATATGTATGCTTTCTGCTATTTTCATTGAGCTTTGCAATTTTCAGGTGTCATAAAAGCATGAACAGAGAAAATAACTTTAGAAGAGAAAATTATCATTTTGATATACACTACCAAGAACTGTGTAATACCACTTCTGAACCACTAAAGAAAACTCATGTCACAGGGAAAAGGATGGCTGACATGCCTCAAATGCTACAGCATCTCTGTCTGGACCAGATGCCAAGAGGAAAAAAAAAAACACACAAACAACCAAACCCAACAACAACAAAAGAAACCTCAAAAATAGAAATGCACTAAGAGGTAACTTTCAAACATAGAAAACAAACCAAGGACCTGTTTAACAAGTGGTCTGTTGAGTTTTGCCTTTTTTTCTTAAATTAAAGCATTACATATAGTGCTAATGTTGATGTATATCTTTTTCAAAGCAACTGGTGATATATGTCACCCTAAGGTGTAATTGTAATTACTATGCTCTTAAAAAGACAAAAGTACTGCGTGCCAGGCTTGCACACCAGTATTTCTCCAAGGCTACTTGTTAATCATTTCAACAATAACAGCTTATCTCCACTCTGTCATGATGTGCTATCCACGAGGCTCTTTATTTATTTAAGAGAGTTAATGTAGGCAAACTTGACCACCTCTGAAATATCTTCCCACAAAAGAGGAGGATCACATCTATTCTGGGCAGTGGCAGTTCCTTGGCCGTTTTTGGTTTGGTTTTTTTTCCCCCCAATGGTCCAGCTCTAAATTAGCTATGAGCTTCACCTGCACCCCCCGCCCTCATCCTATAAGGCTAAACCAGAACAAAGGTTGTACTTGTGTTCCCCATGACAAAACCAGAATAAATTACGTCTTGCTCCTGTCGTTCCAGCAAGCTGGTTAATTGCATTTGTTTCATATATCTCCAAACAGCCTGGTACATTAATTACATTCTGTAACACCAAGCTCCTCTGATTCACTCTGTCACTTCCACTGAGCACTTTAATTGTATTCCTTCTAGCTACATACAATTTTAAACACTTACTAATAATTACATTTCTACAGCCTGATGTTTTCAGTTTGTATACAAAGATATCTCCAATACTGGTGGTCTTAAGGATCAAACTATGTTACAGTAGGAAAAATAAAGCAAACAAACCAAAATCCGCCAAAAAACTACGACCATGCTGATAGACGTAAATGTTTCATTAAACCCTTTCACAGTTAGAACTTCTTACTGTTTAGAATGCACATACATTATGCAGAAATTTTCTTGTCAGCGTGCTGAACTTAAACTACATAGCATATTGTGCAACCAACGTAAAACTGTACTCGAATGCCTCCTTTTTCTCCTCTGTTTTGCCTCCTTTCTTGCCATGGAGTGGGGGAAGACGACAGGAGGGGGGAGAAATATCCAAAGCAGCCTGCGACTGCAAACAATAAACCTGAGCCCTTGCTTCCAGACCGACACAGTCAACGCTGTAAGCAGTAGCCTCCTGGAACCAAGTTTGCTCTAACGGACAGGCAAAACCAGCCAGGGTCCCAGGCATTAGACTCACCCACAGCCTAAGAGACTGTTTAGAGATGCAAACACTCAATCCTAGGAGGACTGCCAAGCGTTTGGTCCCAGCACACTCACGTAGAGCTGTATGCTGTTACAGACGCTCGCTTCTTAGCCGTGTGCCTGAACTCCTGTAATGCATCCAACGTCTATGCTGCAGCACAGCGCCAGCCCCTACTTTTTCTGAAAGACCATTTACCCTTGCACTGAAGTTTCCGCCCTACTAAAGCGTACTTCCCCGAGATGCTGATGTATCGGTCCCCGTCCATTACCTGAAAACCGCAAGTGCTGTAGACCAGACCCAAAGAGGTGGGGGAAAAGGGGAGAGGGGGGATAAATCCACCCTTTCCCCCCAAACGTTGCTAAGCTTCATGACAACGCTCCCTCCGGAGGAAGATAATGGGAAGACCCTCCCGCCCCACCCGCGAGCCGAGCCCCACGGTGGAGGGGACCCGGCAGCTCCCTACCTGCCCGGCCCCGCGGGGGGGGTGGGTGGAGGTGACACGGGGCAGTGGGTGCTGTGCTGCCCCCGCACACACACGCACCCTGCCTGCTCCAGCCTCCGCCAGCGCCAAAGCAGCCCTTTAGGGACTCTGGAAATTCGCCAATTCGCCTCACCTGGAGCCGAGGCAGAGCTAACCTATTTATTTCATCAGCTGCAGCTCCTGGTGGAAAGTTTAACAATAGAAGAGGGCAAAGTAATACCAGCTACAACAGCTGTTTGCCTTGCCTTTCTCCTTCCCGCTTCCCCCCCTGAATTTAGCACCGTAGTTTTACTCTTTCCTGGCTACCTCAAGCTGACATTCTTCCATTCATAAACTCCTTTTGCATTAAGTTAGCAGACGGGAAGGACTGCTTATTGGAAACATATATTCTCCCTCTTCCCCCTCCCAGAAATACCATTTTTGTACCAGAAACAAACTTAAGGCTGTGTAATGTTAAAGCTTATAATGCCGTCCATGTGCTGTCCCAAATCAGATTCAGATGAAGGGGAATTCTGCACAGAAATGGCATATCTAAAATAAGCGAACTTACCATAGACTTGAAAGAATGCAAATCCAAAGAGCAGGAGTGGCGTCAGCAGACCCATTTTGACATATTAAAAGCAATTCCGATCGCTTGCGAGACCAATTCCACAGAGATCAAAAAAAAAAAAAAAAAAAAGTATCCAAAGCCAGTAAGAGGTAGGTCCAAAAGTTTTCAGTTTCCTAGCAGCTACTTAAAGTGGAAAGGGAAATCTTGAAATCAAAAGCTGCAGATGGAAAGGTCTTGAATGTGACACTTTTAGATCCATACAGATTAGAGCAGCGAGCGAGCTCCGAAGGCTTCTGCTTTGCACACACGCTCCTTCCTAAATTTCCACCAATCCAGCCCAAGCAGAGAAATTATTTAAGTGTGTCTAAGACTCTTTAGGATCCCCGGCAATCCAAAAGCAAGCTCTTTCTTCGGAAGACAAGGAGAGACTGTGAGAAAGGACCTGATTCCTAGAAAGTGCTCCACAAACTTCCCGGCACTTTGCAGGAAAATCATTGGCTTGGTTTGGCTATTTTGCCTTCCTCTCGCCCTCCCCCTGCCCCTTTCTCTCCCAAATCAGTTCAAGCTGCGGAGTTTCTCACTTAACTTCCATAATAGGAACGTCTAGGCGATGTGCTACACGAGGGGAATCGGCATCCCCTCAAAATAAAGCCCTATCTATCCCCTGCACCTCCCTCCTCACGGAAAACCCGAGCGGAAACTGCTCCAGGGCAGTAACTCCGGCGCGGTGCCGCT